TAGTTTTAGGGTTCAAAGGGTTTAGGGCTTTAGTATTAGAGTTTGGAGGGTTTTAGGGTTTTAAAGAAAACGAGAACATTTTTAAAAATCTCCAACATTTAAGCAGACTTTCAAAGCAAATTCGGTTTTTATAATTTTTAAAAATTAATTAAAATTTTTCATATATTTTCTTTTTATAACAATTTATTATTAATAATATTATTAATTTATTTATTGATTTTTTTAATAATTCTCTAATATTTAGGCAGAATTATCATTATTTAAAGAACGATTATATTCTCTCCAACATCTAGACAAGAAAATTTTCCTTATTACTTTTATAATCATTTTATATATTTATTATTATTATTATTATTATTTATTTTTTATTTAACTCTTTGGTTATTATTCTTTTAAAAAGAATATATATATACACATATTAAAAAGAATCAAAATTTTTGAAATCATTTTTTTCACTATTGCTGTTATTATCATTAGTTTTTATTCTTTTATTTTATATTATTTAATAAGGTTTGTTTTTAAATTTTTTACAAAAATTATAAAAACTTTACCTTTATTACTCTTTATTTATTTTTTGTTTATTTTATTATTATTATATTATTATTATTATTATTATTATTATAAAACAACAAATATTTATTCTAAAAAATTTAAAGGTATTAAACATGCATAAGTAATAATAATAAAACTAAAATGATATAAAAAATATATAAAAAATTCAAAAAACATCCAAAAAAAATTGAACCAGACCGGTCAATTGTCCGATCAACGCTGGTTCGGTTAGTTCGATCACTTCGACGATTCAGATCAATTTGGTTCGATCAACGATTCAATCAAAGGCTAAAGGATGTCGGATCATCGAATTGGGTGTGCGAACCCTAGTCTGACGTGCAGATTCTTTTAGGGCTTAAAATGACGTTGTTTTGCTTTTTCCTAAATGGTGTCATTTTTTAACTTTTTTTTTATAAAACCCAAAAGTTTTTTGGTTAATTTTTTTGAGCTATTTCTCTCTCTAAGAGAAAGCTTTTCTCTTTAAACAAAGAGGGGTTCCTCAAACGATCACCGACAGTTGCATGGATCGTCACCTAGTTCATCATCAACAAACATTGACTGCCAGTTTGGTCGTCAAAAAATTCTAATATTTGCTAAAAGGCTCACCCTAGCCTCCTGAGCTTCAATTCAACCTCCCTTTCGTCAGGAACAACCTCGATAGGTAAAGATTAAGGTTTAAAGTTTGGATTTTTTTTTATAAACTAAAACTTTTGTATTTTTTTGCTTTTTGCAAGGGCTTTGGCATTGATGATTCCTCCATACTAGGAGGACTATGTTTGTGATTTTTTATGTGTTTGTTTGTTTTTTTTTTTTTGGTTTGTTTTCTAGTGGTTTTTTGTTTGGCTGGTGCCTGGGTTAGGGTAAAGGCTGATAGCTCGTAGGAATAGGGTTAAGGGGGGTAAGGCACAAGGCTGGGTGTTAGGTATGTCTAGGGGTGAAATTGTGGTCTAGTGGGATGCCTAGAGCTTGGTAAGGGTTGAAAAGGGGTTTGGTCTCGCATGGCCAAAGGCCTGGGCAGTAGGTATGAAGGTGCAGGTTGTTAGGGGTGAGAGGGATCGGTGCCTGAGGGCTCAAAGAAGGGTGTGGGGTTTTTAGGAGCTTTAAAAGGGGGAGCAAGTGGTTTGGCAGGGTATAGGTGTTGGTAGGGTATGGCCGGGGCTACATGGGGAGTGGGTGGTTCGAGGTTTTATGGGGCATGGTGCAGGTAGGGGTAAGTGGATAGGCTGGTGTCGTGCACAATACCATGCCTAACCATGCCTATCTCTATCCCCTTTTTCTTTCTTATTTTTTTAAAAAATATTATTATATTAAATTATTAACTTTAATATTGATAAAAAAATAAGGTTTCATTCAATAGATTCGGACAAAATTCAGTGTCCATAAGTGTTGGAATGATGGGTAAGTATCAAAATAATTTAAGATTAGATCATTGAGGGTTACAAAGAAAGTATTAAGATATTTGTAAGAAATGACAGATCGCATACCCACTTATAAGAGGTCTAATCATCTTGAGGTGATATGATATTTAAATTCAGATTTTACTGGGTGTGTGGATAGCAGAAAATCCCCATTTGGCTATTTATTTCTTTTAGCTAGTGAAACGATCTTATGGAAAAGTGTGAAGCAATCTATTATTGTTGCATCAATTATGGAAGCTTAGTTTGTGGCATGCTTTGAGGCCACTACTTATGGTTTATGGCTACAAAACTTTATTTCATGACTTGGAATTATCGACAATATTGCCAAGTCACTGAAAATTTATTGTGATAATGCCATAGTAGTCTTCTTTTCTAAAAACGATAAGTATTTAAAATGTGCTAAACATATGAAATTGAAATAATTTGTTGTTAAAAAAAGAAGTTTATAAATAAAGAATGTTAATGGAACACATTAGCACCAACCTTATGGTTGTGGATCCGTTAACAAAAGGTTTGCCACTAAAGACATTTAATGAACATGTTGAAAGAAAATGTATTATTGAAAATCATTATTGACATTATAGTAAATTTTTATATTCATTAAATATTTGATACTCTGAGCTCTTTTAAGTATTAGTTTTGATATGTTTATGCATCATATTCCATTATGTTAGTATATATACATGATTAAATTATATGAATATGAACATGATTTGTTTTTAATGAAAACATTAATGGAACATTATGACATGTCTCATTAAATGTCATGTTGAGTATAGAACTAATAATGTGATATGTAAAAAGAATTATGTCAAGTTAATTATACATAATTACTGTGATTCTTATTAGTTTTTGCTCAATGATAATTTATAATTTGTTCAATTAAAGAAAGAATTTAGCTTATATTATGAACATTATATTTTATTATTAAATTATAAAAATGAATAATACCATTTAGGCCAAATAGAAGAGTGTTAGATATTATGTGACCTATGTGTTGTTTTCTAACTTTATACAAATATCTTTTTAAATAAAATTTAAAAGATATTAATGGTTTAATAATTATTATATGTTTAAAATCTGTTTGATCAATAAAGATGAATAGAGTTTTGTTTTATTTATGAAACAAAAAATAAATATAATTAAAACAAAAGAAAATTTTGTTTATAATTTATACATTGATATAACGTATAAATTGATTGCTTTTAAGAAAGAAAGAAAGCAAAGTTGCTTCACTTTTTCTATTTATAAATTGATTTCGTTCTATCCATCAAACACGCGCGTGAAGATAAAAGAGGTCAAGAAATCGAAACAAAACTTTATAAAATATTTATATAAAATTTATAATGGATTAAGATACAATTGCTCTTCAATCAAGAAATTATAAAAATCATTTTTTTTAAGATCTTGAGCATTAAGATTATGCAAAATTAAGATTCAATTTGCATAATAAAAGATTTCTAACAAAACTATGGTATGAAAATATGATATGAAGAATAAAAGCAAAATGTGTTTTTAGTGAAAATTATTTATAAGTTTAACAAAAAAAAAATTATATATTTTTTATATTTTTCATATTGACACGAATTATAATATGTAATTTTTAAATAAAATATCACACAAATATAAGAATTAGCAATATTTATATTATACAAATTTATGAATTATCATATCTATTTCTAAGTTTGAAATAGTCAAAAATTTAAGGATTAATATTATAAATGATATTTAAATTATAGTAAAATAATTAACATGATATTTAAATTTTAAAAAATTTTAATATAATACATTAAAGAAAAATATCATTTCCGCTACTTAAAAATTAATGGAAGTTTTTATTGTTTTATCTAAAGGTGATAAATGAACTTCTGACTTATTCTATGGTTAAAATTTAATAATTTAAAATAAAATAAAATTAATTAAAAATTCAAATTATTTAAATAAATATTCATCGTAAAGTTAATTGAAAATGGATTTATCGCCCTTATATGAAGTTGTAAAAACTTTCAGAGCGGAAAGGATCATCTCTCCATTTGATACCAATTGAAAAAATTTTCATTAGCCGCCAGAAGCCAAGCTCGGCGCTTGCACGGTGCTCGCTTCTGCCCTTCCCTCGCTCTTCTTTCTTTCTTTCTATGCACTGCCCTTCGAAGTAGCTGGCGTTCTTTGCATCAAAAACGTCATTTCTTGTCGGCCAAAGGAAAAAAAAGAACAACACTTTCTCTCTTGTTTTAGAGTTCAGGCAAGACACTATTAGCGGAAATTGATTCCTAGGGGTATCTCATACTGTTTTTCTCATTGATGTACAAGGTTTTTTTTTTTTTTTTTTAAGTTGAGGGCAAAATTTATTTCATTTATTCTTCCGGGTTTGCCAACATATGTTATCTTTCACATTGGGTTGCTTTGTTTTTGTGTTGCAATTGTAAAAATGAGGTCTTTCCTATGGAACCTCTCTTTAAGACAAAGCATTTGAGCTTCTTGAAAAAAAAAATTTTTTGTCTTTTTTTTTTTTTTTTGCTCTTAAAGAATAGTAGAATGCCTTAAAAACTCATATTAAGGACTTCCTTGCTGTTTTCATTGATGGGTATAATTTGTTTTCGAGTTTTCTCGTTGGAATTGTTAATGACTTGGATTACTTATAATTGATTTTTCTACAGTAGTAAATGATGTTTATTGGTGGGTTTATTGAGGAAAATTGGTGGTGCTGTTGATTTTAGCGATAAGGAAGCACTGTTTGCACTTTGAGATAGAGAGTCTTTATTTAATCAAAAGGCAGTGTTTCTTAGAAGTACCATTGGTTTTTGACTATTTTGTTTTGACTATTTTGTTGCACGTAGAATTTCTTTGGCCAAGTTCTATGTAGATTTTTGGGTTATATATTTTTCAATTTTAGAGGTATTAAAGCAATTGGGGTCAAATTTTGTGTCAAAATGTTGTTGGAGCAGTTTTGCTTCTGTTTTGATGCTTAGAAAATCGATTTGACAATTTATAACTGCATGTTGTTTCACTATGAAATTTATAAGTGTTGAGAATTAAATTGATAGATCAGTATATCACTTGTAATAAATAATCTATGGTATACAATAATATACCTAAACCATTTTAATGTACTAATATATCAATGTTAATAATTTGATTCTTACCCTTTTTTCCCTTTTGTCCATTAATCCAGGTTAGCAGACCGAGATGTTATACGTTATAGGTCTTGGATCGGGGGATGAGAGAGACATTACTCTAAGAGGTTTAGATGCGGTGAAGAAATGTGAGAAGGTGTACATTGAGGCCATACATCTCTTCTATCCTTTGGTCTTTCTACAGATGGCCTTTCTACTCTATACTACAAATATTCTTTCTATTCCTGATAACTTTGCTATCTTTCAATTCTTGGGATTTTCATTTGTGCTAGAATTTTTAAAATTGTTAGGAGAAATTGTATGGGAAACCTATTATACTTGCAGATAGAGAAATGGTTGAAGAAAAAGTAGACAATCTTCTGTTAGAAGCTGGTGGGTCTGATGTAGCTTTCCTTGTTGTTGGCGATCCTTTTGGGTATTAGCTGACTTTCTTTGTTTTTTTTCATGATAAAATATTTGTATGTGCTCTCATTGATTTTAGTTTTCTTCTTAGTGAATTTCTTTTTATATTCTATTTATGAATACATTGGATTGCTTTTATGTATTTGTAAAATGCTTGGTTTCATCAAATAATTATGGTATCAATGCTGTTTAAATCATGGAGTTGTTTTGTTAGTTTGTCTTTCTAAGAAGCCTGCAATTTTGGTTTACAATTTCTCTTGCATGCAGCCCTGTATATAAATAGAAGTAGAAGCCCTAACTACCTTTGTTGGAATTTTCATTCTAAATGAGACCATTTTGTATCAGTTCTTATTGTATTTTAGTTTGATGAACTATTCAAATCTGTTGGAAAGCCTTTCTCAACAGAACTCAGTGAATGTCATTCTTCTATTTCTCCTTACCTCTCTCCCTCCCTAGTTATCCTATTTGGGAAGAAGTCTTAATGTTTGAAATACCACTGCTAAGTAACTCAGTTAAGGCTTGGAATCAGGATGAAGCTGTATTTAATTGAAGAAAGGATTGAGCCTGGTTGAACCTGGTTTGTGGGAATATAATCATGGTTCTTTTCTTTCCTTGGAGATTCTATGTGTGTTGAGCTTCTATTACATAGGTAGTCTTTATTCACCTCAAAATCTTTTTCTGAGTTGCTTCTCTTTCTCATTAGTCTTTTGCTTGGGAAAATTGCACAGCAACAACACACTGATCTTGTTGTTCGAGCAAAGACATTGGGGGTTGATGTCAAGGTAGTGCGCAATGCATCTGTGATGAATGCAATTGGAATTTGTGGATTGCAACTTTACCATTATGGGGAGACAGTTTCAATACCTTTTTTTACCGAAACATGGAGGCCTGATAGCTTTTATGAGAAAATTCAAAGAAATCACAATCTTGGATAGCACACACTTTGTCTTTTAGGTGAGGTTGTTTTGTACATAAATTAACTGGAGATTTTTAATTGCATTTTCTCATCTTTTGTTAGTATTTGTTACTTGAACATGCACTAGTTATGGGAGCTAAGTTTGCTTCTGTTTTATTGCAAAGATCTTCATAACCTTAGATGACCACACAGTGAGGAAAAATGATCTTATCTATCTTAATATGAGTATTTAGGAGTGCTAACTGTTAAAATAGCAGCTAAGTGTAGCTAGCTGATAATAGGCTCAAACATTTTCCAGAGCGAAGCATGAGGATGCACATTTTTTTCTCATTTCGATATGGATCCTAGTATTTCTCCATTTATCCACTAGTAACTCAATAATTGGCCTTTTAAAATCATTATAGCTTGTGGTGTGAATTTATGGGTTATTGTTGTATGTTCTACCTGATTTGGTAGTCTTAAATAGATTCACTGCCTTTTTCATGTAGATATTCATGTAAAGGAACCAACTTTGGAATCTTTGTGCAGGTCTGTATCAGAAGTTGTAGTTTGTACTGTTTTTTGCTACATAAAGTTCAACTGTCTGCCATTGCTTTGACTGATTGTTTTTCCTGGTTTCCCCTTGAATATTTTCAGGGGAAGAAAGCTGTATGAAACACCTAGGTACATGACAATAAACACCGCCATTGAGCAGCTCTTGGAGGTTGAGCAAAATTATGGTGAATCTGGTGAGGTTCAATAGCTTTCACTATCTTGAAGCTTTCAGATATTTCTTTGTTGTGTGTGCTTTTTCCACTTTTTGAGTCTACAAGTATTCTGGACTTCATGTATGTAACCCTATTTAAGATGTAAAAGTAAAACATTATCAGACCTATTCTACAAAAAAATGAGTTTCTAGTAAAAGTAAAACATTATCATGCCTATTCTTGTTAACTCCTTTATAACGTCACAACATGGTTTGCAACCTGCAAATCATTTAAATATTTTTGATAACTATGGTCATTGATTATCTCATTGCTGTAGGAGACTGAAATTTATGGAGGCTAGGGAATAATTTTTTGATACCATTGCATAGTATAGGGTACCGTTTCTAGTATGCAGATTGGTGCCATCTAAATATATATTTTTTCTCATAGGGAAGATATCTCCTACCCTCTTCATTTTTTTTTCTTTTGTTTCTCTTTCTAGGTGGCCTTTTTGTTTGGATCTATCAATTTTATGTATCAGCTTCGAATATGAATAATATAATCTGTCCTGAGATTTTATGTTCTGGAGCTAGTTTTCTCAGAAATGCTGCAATATGCTTGAAAAGATGCTAGTTTTGTTTTCCTCTACTGGTTTCGAGAGAAATGCGAGGAAGAGTATGAAGGAACAATTCTGTTAAGCATATTTTATTTATGCATTGCCTTGTAGTGCATGATGAAGACACCGATTGTGTTGGGTTCGCTTGGCTGGGAAGTGAGGATCAGATGATAGTTGCAGGCACAATGAGACAACTCCGGATGGTTGATTTTGGCAACCCTCTGCGTTGCCTTGTCATAGTGGGCAAGACTCATCCAGTGGAAGAAGAAATGTTGGAGTTCTACAAGATTAGAAGTGAGAATTCGAACAGAAAGGTGAGGAATTGTGTGAATGTACTCTCTAACAGAAATGTTTCTTCCTCCTGGTGTAGATGTGCAGGTTGTTGTTGCTTTCGAATTTTATATTGAACATGCTTTTTTTTGCTTCTGAAAAACAATTTTGTGGCTCTTATTTCTTGAGCATCTTGGGGGATTGAGACCAATATGGCTTGGTCTTCATCTACATTTCTGCTGTATGGAAGGGAAAATGAAACTCATTCAAACTGTATAATAGCTGTTTGGACTGAGCAGTAATATTTTTTATTATTGAAGAAGTTTGAAAATCTCATATAAAAATTTAATTTTAACAAGACAAAAAACATTAGTTAAAAAAAGTTGCTTAATTCGTTTGAATTTACATAATCTATCTGAAACGACTTCCAAAAATATCAACTTAAATTCAAAATGATTTAGAAAGTCAAACCAAAATGACCAAAATTTGAAGAGCATTATTGATTATAATTAAACTTGAAAAATTTAAATATGATATAGTAATAAAATACAAAAACAACATTAAATAAAATATCAAAGTGTCATGATTTAAAATTTTAATAAAAATTGTAAGAGTTTGAAAAAAAATATTTTTTATTTGATGTGCTGCTACGAATTATAATAAAATATTTTATAGTCGTGTTTTATATGTACTAAATATAAAATAGATAGATATTGATATACAAATTGTAAGATCTAATTATAACCCAACTCAAGCAGTCTAATTTCCATTCTCGTAATCAAAAATCATAATTTGGACTCCAGAAAGAATTATTAAGCTCTATACCAACTCATACATCAGTTCTGGAAGACAATCATCCGATAATATTGCATGAGGTGAAGGTAACATTTTGTCTAGAGCCTAGATACTTTGTTTTTCATTCTGCCACTTTTCCTGTGTTCAGTTCAATTCAGTAACGGTCCAGTAGTTGACAGTTATGATTAAACCACAAATTTATTGAATTAAAATTTCTGAATCTTTGATAAATTTAACAATTGGTCCAATATTTATTGTCTCAAACAAAGTGCTTAGATTGAAATCTCAAGCTAGTAAATCCTTTTCCAGGAATAGCTGTTACAAGTATACTTGGAAAATGTACCTCATTTGGACCATTCCAATAAATAAAGGACAAGAAACTGTCCATTAATATTAGTAACGAAACAAGTAAATAATAAATTTATGAAACCCCATTAGCTCAGAATACTTCATATCTCCATATTTATTTCCGAAGCAGTAACATAAACTTGATTGGTTAGTATAAAATGAATGAATCAGTGAAATTGCAGCAGGCAGATCGAAGCAAAAATGGCGACAATTGTTTCACCAAAGCAATTTTCTCCTGTTGAAGATGCGGAAAATATCAAGAAGGCTTGTCAAGGTTTGAAATCTATTAAACTTTTCAAGACATAATTACTTGTCTGGCTGAATTTGATCTCTCTTTTATCTGGGATAAACTTTTTCAGGATGGGGAACGGATGAGAAAGCCATTATTTCGATTCTAGGACATCGAAATCTATTTCAAAGAAAGCTTGTTAGACTAGCTTTTGAAGAGATTTATAATGAAGATCTCCTCCAGCAGCTCAAATGCGAGCTGTCTGGAGACTTTGAGGTTTATGTTTCATTACAGAAAATTATCCTTTGCCTATCTATTGTCTCATTGAAAAAGCTAATAAAACAACTTTTTTTTTTTTTTTTTGTAATTTGTCGTGCAATATAGAAAGCTGTAAGTCTATGGACTCTGGATCCTGCTGAACGAGATGCCCTCTTAGCCAATGAAGCATTGCAAAAAACTGTTCCTGATTATAGAGTAATTGTTGAAATAGCATGTATCAGATCCGCTGAGGATCTCCTGGCAGTGAAACGTGCTTATAAATTTCGCTACAAGCGTTCCCTTGAAGAAGACCTGGCTTCTTCCACCACTGGTGATATTCGAAAAGTATGTTTTCAAGACAGTGTTTCCTTTATGTTGAGCAAATTGTATATCCTTTATTGATTAATTTTGATTTTGTGGGTTGTCATTGCAGCTTCTGGTTGCAGTAACAAGTGCTTATAGGTATGATGGTGATGAGTTTGATGAGACAATGGCTCATTCTGAAGCTAGTATTCTCCATGAAGAAATCCATGGAAAAACTTTTAACAATGAGGAAGTGATCAGAATCTTGAGTACTAGGAGCAAAGCACAGCTAAATGCAACCTTCAACATCTACAAAGACATCCATGGTCGTTCCATCACAAAGGTACAAAAGCAAGCTTAATCTGAAAATGTATATAATTCGACATGCTTAAACTGTTCTTATAACCCAAATTTTGTATGTATTCTTTTTATGCATTGAACTGGTGTTTTTGCCATGTTTTGAAGGGTTTGTCGGGCGGTCCAAGTGATGATTATTTTCCTGCATTGCGTACTGTGATCCGTTGCATTAGAGACCCTAAAAAGTATTTTGCAAAGGTCAGCATACAGTTCTGTTATAGCTTCAAAAATCAAACAAAAACTCAATCAGAATCTATTGTTTTCGTCATGCAGGTGTTGCGAAGTGCCATTAATACGCCAGGCACAGATGAAGATGCTCTCAGTCGTGTGATCATTACTCGCGCAGAGAAGGACTTGAAGGAGATTCAGGAGCTGTACCTGAAGAGAAACAATGTTTTTCTTGAAGATGCAGTTGCTAGAGACTGTTCCGGCGACTACAAGACCTTTCTTCTAGCCTTACTAGGGGCTGACCAAAAATAAACTCTGGTTTTTAGTTATCCTTTGGTTTCCACATTAGAGGTTTCTATGATTAAGTTGATTGTTATATATTAGCAGCAACTTCTATTAGGCTAATCATGCTTGAAATCTGGTAACTTAGAGACTCGTTTCTTGCGTTGGTTTATACAGAAACTAAATAATGAAATTCACAATAAATATTGCAAAATATCAAATTTTAAATCTCAAATTTGTTGAATGTGACGTTTAAGCATAGGTTTTTTTGTTTTTCTTAATATTAGTAATTTTTCTCAATTTTTGTTTTCCAATTCCAATGTGACTTGTGATGCTCAGCACTGAAGGAATAGAGCAATGAACTCCAACAAGGCATCTATAGCCAATCACCAGGAGCCACGTGGCAATTGGGGGGGGGTGTGGTTGTGATCAAGTTTAGATCATTATTGTCTTTGCGATCATTCGTAAATAATCAGTACAAAAGTTTAGAATCATATTTAAATATTAATATATAAAAAAATTAATGAATTAAATTAAGATAGATAAAATAGAAAAAAGTGGTGCAATTTGTACCTTGCTTCCTCTCTCTACACCTTAATACTATTAACACACATTATTTTTTTTCTTCACGCTTCAAATTAAAACATTAATTTACTAAAAAATTCAAGTACCAATATCCTCACACGCTTTCTCTTCTTCGTTGAAAACCTTAGACCCCTTTAGGGATCAAATTTCAAATCAAGCTTCAATCATTTGATGTTAGACAATTTAGAATTGTAAGTAAATCTTTTTCTTTTTTGGATGTTAGATAATTTAGAATTGTAAGTAAATCATTTGTTTTTTTTTTTCTATTTTTTGTTTGATTTTGTATTTAGTTTTAAAAAATTTAAGATTTTAAATTTAAAAGAAAGATTTAGAGCAACAATTTGAATATTCTAAAAATAAAATTTTGAAAATTATTGAAGGTTTTAGAAAATGCATATCCAAAAACTTTTTCAATATATTATAAATTCATTTTCAAAATATGTTAAAAGTTTTCAAATATCTTGAAAACTTTTAAGAATTTTCGAAAGTATATTTTTTTTAATGATTTTTTGACATTCATTTTTTAAATCTTTCAAAAACTTTTTCAAAAATAAAATTTTAATACACAATAACCTTCGACCAGCAATAAAGATGAAATAACCTTTTAGTATATAAAAATTGATCTCATATCATCAGTAGACTAATAAATCCATCAATAAGGATCATAATCTTTTGGTTACCAAGCAATCTCTATTTAATTACGTTTGCAACATTTTTACAATTTTGATATGTGTATTTGAGAGAAATTATTAAGTGTGAAGAGACACTTGTGCAAATTAATTACTGCATTACAAGCGATGGAGTGTGACTGTCTTAGTACACATAATGTAGTAGCCACTTGTACAAATGCTCTTCATGATTATTGATTTTCTATCAAATGCACGTTTATTAAAATTGGATAATTATTCCAAATATTATTAAATGGATAGTACCTAATCAAAAGATTAGATATTTTTACTATCGGAATTAAACATTCTATATATCAAAGAAATTGTTACAAACTCGTTTGAAAATCATAGTAAAAAATATTTGATATTCTCGTACTAAACATTAAATAAGAGATTGCAATAAAAAAACTAAAATAAAAAATTGTTTTTGAAAATTTATTTTTAAATAATTACAATATTTTTCAAAAATAAAACTTTTGATAAAGTTAAGAAGTTTTAAAAAATTAATTTTAGTATATTGAGGAAACTTTCGAAAATACATTTTAGCAATTTATTGAGAAGGGTATAAAAATAAAAAAAATTAGTTAATAAAAATTTAATTAGTTTTTTTAAAAATAAAATTTTTAGGGTGTATTGAAAGTTTTTTGAATATAAATGGTCACTTTCAATAAAATATATATAAAGTCTAAATCCAAAGGTCGCCAGGGCTCATCTCTCAAATGCTTGGTCCCAACCTAAACCTCCCTTGCCCCTCGGGCTTAGATTCAAATTAAATAATAAAATCATTACTGTAAATAATAAAAAATAAAATTTCAAATAAAAAGTAGAGTTGGGAAATATATCCCAAGGTCTCAATCCAACTCTTGGGTTCTTTTTTTCTTCGGAAGTAGTCGAATTTTTTTTAAATAAAAGGTGAAATTGAATTTTAGATAAATCATTTTGATTTGATTTAGTATATATATATATATATTTATTATTTATTTAATTTTATATTTGTATATAAATATTAATAAAATTATTATGTAATATTTTAATTTAAAATATTAATTTAATAAAAATATTATATTTATATATAATTAAAATATAATTTATATTAAAAAATAATATTATATAAATATTATAATAAATTAAAAATTAAAAATTTATTTTAAATCAAATAAAATAAATTACAATTTTTGACATATACAAATTAAATATAAAAAAATATTTTAATATCAAATCAAAATCAAAATCTTACTTTATAAAATAGGATAAAAAAAACACCGCTGTGACCCAATACCATATCTAGAAAAAAGTCAGTAATCTTCTCATTTTTCTATCCCTTACAAAAACCTCAATCAGCTTACACCTTCCGACAACGCACTCACGAATTTTGATCGGAGTCGAAGGAAATTTACATGTTCTAAAAGTAAATAAAGTGAACAAAGGCACGTTGTGATTACTTGATGGCGAGTGCTGACGTGGATGCCGTAGATTTCGAGCCGGAGTACGACGACCTCATGGACGAGGACACCACCGGCGACGCCTCCCCTCAAGCCCCAATGCCTAAGCTCGGGTCCGCCATCACTGGCGGCGCTCCTACCTCTTTTTCCCGCCCTAAGAAGACCAAGGGCCGTGGCTTCCACGAGGACGGCGCCGACCGCCACTCCCGTCTCGCCTCCCGCGACTTCGAGTCTCTCGGCACTAACGGCGGCCCCGGTCCGCAGAGATGTTTGTCCCTACACTAAACCCTAATATTTTTCTCTCGCCGATTATTAATGTTGTTTCCTTTTGTTTTATCTAGGGTTTTTATTTTATTTTTATATTTTGCGGCCTATAAGACAAGATAATTACTAAGTTGACCTAATTTTTGCTATATGAAATGTGCACAATGATTTAGGATTAATTTGGTTTAAATCAGTTGGGAATTTTGGTAGGTTTCTGAAATTTTTTGGGGGGTAATATGTAATATCTTTACTTCTAGTATGTGGTGTTAATATTTCTTCAGTTCTTTATTTGCTAACCGCTGCAAGTAAAACTTATTCATAACTAAATCGTTCAAAAAATGAATCCGAAGTTAAGGTCAGTTGGTTGAAGCCTTAACTGGTTATTCCAGGATTAGATTTCAAAATGAGTTGTTTTGCTGGTTGTTGGAACTTTCTAACCTTTTAAATGTCGGATTCCTAAAGGCAGCTTCCTTAACTTCGTCATTGTGGATATTTTCTAGCTATATCGTACATTGTAGAAACCCTTGATGAATAAGAAATGTTTATCACCTTTCTCATTAGAGATTTTGAGTGAGGAGTTATAATATGTTCAGGTCATTTATGAGACAATGACTACTCTAATGGAAGATGCTTCATGAATTTTCTGGTTTACAGTCTATATGCATCCCATAAATTGTAAGATGTAATATCATTTAGGTTTAATGTCTGTACTTTTCTCCGTTTATTTGTGAGTTAGGGCTGGTTAATATTTCTAATGTGGGATGGAAGAGGCATTTTGAGGCTTGGTGTTTAGACATAGTCCATTTGTAATAAGTTCTGAGGCAGAAAGTTAGGCCATTTATTGAGGAACTATGAATGCTCGCTCCTCTAGGGTAGTACTTAAAATAGGTAATTCAGTTTTGAAGTTAAGAAATAAGAGGTAACGGCTAAGAAATGAGAAGTTCGCTAAATTGTATTCCAGAGTACTAGAGGAAATTGTACTAGAAATTAGAGAAAATTCCTGACGGTAGTTGCCTTTTCTGCTCTTATAGAAGCTAGTTTTAAACTTGTATGATGCATAGGACACAAAATTCAATAAAAAATATTCAAAATCTTTTACAAGTTTTCTCTTGATCCCAAATGAAATTCTATTGATTTAAGTGGATATAAATTCTTGGCTGATTGTTGAGATTCACTTTGTTCCATTATTGTAAGTATGGGACAGGGTTCTGTCCTTGTTCCTGTTTTCTGAATTTGGTTGGGACATCATGTAGGGGATATAAGAAATTCCCTTCTGCCAAGGACAATAAGCCCAATTGAGTGCATTAATTTTAAATTATATTATTAAAACCTTTTCTGTCTTTCCGGCTATTTTATAGGTTTGCAACCTTTGTGTGGACACCCTTTATTTTCCTACGTGATGTCAATTTAAGTCAACTTCTAGAGTACAGTAGATAAAAGCAAGTTTGTGCAAGAATGAAATAAGATTTACCTTTATGTTTGTAAACTATTTTTGTCAATAGTAATATTTTCTATTATTTCTCATTAATGAATGTGCAGCTATTGAAGGATGGATTGTTTTGGTCACTGGTATACATGAGGAAGCACAAGAGGATGATTTGCACAATGCGTTTGGTGAATTTGGTGAGATCAAGAATTTGCATTTAAATCTTGATCGTCGCACTGGATATGTGAAGGTAGGCAACTTAGTAATTGGCGTAGATCTTTATGACTATTGTTTTGTGTAAATGGTGTACTGTTAAGTTTTCTTTTTGGTGGTTGAACTCTTCACATTGTATATTTATATGTATGCCTGTGTGTGCTCGCAGGTGCATATATATGTCTGTATTGGAAATGTTTTGGCTGCCTATGTCTGCATGTTTAGCATTTTTCTTTTGTGTTTCTTATATGTATTAGAGAATGTGGATTCAGTTATAGCGTAGGATATCAATCAGTTTACTGTTTCTAACCATTTTATGTTGTTACTTAATGCTAGTTTGACACATTTCAATATGTTTTAATTCAAGCATTGATTGAAGATAAGATTATTCCTTTTTTGGCCTTTCATACAGCTGATCCTATAGTTATGGGATATGAGGCTTAGTTTGTTGTTGTTGTTGTTGATTGAAGATAAGAAAACAAAGGACAATTCTTTGACATACGTTCACCGTCTTTTACTTATTTTCTTAGTATTGTATATTTTTGTTCAAGCAAAATTAATGTGAGTGTTACTACTTAGGGATATGCACTGATTGAATATGAAAAGTTTGAAGAGGCAAAGAATGCTATATCCACAATGGATGGAGCAGAACTTCTTACACAGACTGTCAATGTTGATTGGGCCTTTAGGAATGGGCCCAGTACTGGAGCCTTCAAAAGAAAAAATATGAGGTTTGTCTCTATTAATATGCTTTTGAATTGTTATTGATTTATTAAATATATCAATTATAAGTGGTGAAAAGCTGACTATTCATTCAACCTGACTGATCTAATTTAAATTTAAAACATTGTAATACTTGAAATGAAACAATCCAAATTTGAATGACTAAAGTCTAAAATGACCTGAAACTTGAAATGACCTGAGCACAACCCAACTTAACTAAACCTAAATGCTAACCTTGCCCAAATCTTGAAACTTAGCATAAGTATCTCCTTTCCCTTTAAAAACTAACTTGATTGGAAAGATAACTAACAGAGATAGCAACCTTATGCAAAAAGTATGCTTGATGGTGTTTTTCTTTCCCCTACATGTTCACATTCCACTTTATATTACTCGAAGTGAACCAACTCAAGCGACCAAATGAGAAGTTATTGCAAATTTTGTTGTAATGCCACAGTTCTATTGTTTGAAAATTGAAACTTTTAGCCGGATGGAACTTGTCAGGCTTATCTGTTCTCTCCTTGTATAGGTGCAAAATAAGTGCAGTACTTTGATCTGACAATACCCTTTACCTTCCAAATTTTGCAGATCTGGACGGACACATCGCTCCAGGAGTCCCCGGAGAAGATACTAACTTGTGCTCTATTTTGAGGGTGGATTTATAACACTAGATTTCGAGATTTGGTGCTTGAAATTTACTGAGATTTAGTCCTGTTTTTTCTTGTGTGGCCATTGTGTTTAGTTTTCAAGTGCGGCTTTTTTGGTTTATATTTAACCACTTGGGAGTAATGATCTTTGCTATTATGATCATCTTTTTATTTCTAAGATATTAGCTAGACATCTTGTTATTAGTAACCTTTCTCATTTTAAAATTTGTGTAGTATTAAATTATGGTCAAAATGTGTAATTCGTCTCTGTATCTTGCTTAATCACTCTTGCTAAAAGGATGGTTTATCAATCACTTTATTGTGAAATACCATATTGACCTGTTTTGTCACGAGTATTCCTATATTTCGCTGAATGGACTTCGACAAAGGGTTTGAGTCGATGAGTGGAAAACTTCCTTTTCGTGCTCTAGATTTTTACCTTGGGTGTCATATGATTGGGTATCATATAAACTGGCCAGAAACATACAAATTTTTTTCTTAGATGCCGTATAATAGGGTATCATATAAATAGGCCTGAAAAGAAATTGAAGGCCTTGTTTGATTTGAAAAAAACGTTTTTTGTTTTGGAGAAAATATTTATATCAGCTTCAGGTTCGTAAAAAATTTTGTATAGCTTCTTCGAGAAATAGGACCAACGGTGGTTGGAATGTATATATAAACAAATTTTCTTTGTACACTATTAGTGGATAATGTTATCCATATTCTGTTTAAAAATTTGGTGAAAAAAAAATATAATTTAAGAATTTTAAATTTGTTGTGTTAAATTGCAGTAAAAATGTGCTGTGTTAAATTGAAATGTTCAAAAGCATAAAATAGTAAAAATTTAAATATATGAAAATAATAAAATTATTTTACTCAAAAAAATTGCGATTGAATATGAAAGCACTTACTAGCTTTTTTATTTGGATTTAGAAATGAGATTTTGAAACCAACATTTTATTATTATTATTATTATTATTATTATTTAATATTGAGATAAGATTAAAAAGTAATACTAAACTAAGACTCCAATTGTAACCACTAAAGTTCGATCACTAATGTGTTAAACTTGCTTGAAATGCTTTTATTTATGAAATCCGGATCGACAGAAATAAAAGAGTATTTAAAAAGTAGACTGGTAGTATTACAACGATGTTGCAATTCATTAAGGAAGTTGTTCGCCGCAGGTTTCACGAAATTCAATCCCTAGTTAATCATTTTTTTAATCGATCTTTTGGTAGTAATTGAAATTTGGGTGAGTCTGATATTTAATTGACTTATCTCATCTTCATTTTCTTTCTTTTTTTTTTAAAAGCTATGTATGATTGCATAAACAAAATTCTTTGTACCGTTTTTGAATGAATAAAATTACATTATATATATATATATATATATATATATAAGTAACGTGTTAGGCAAGCATTTCTTTTCTTTTTTTTTTTACTTTACGTAACTCTTATTTGCTTAAACTTAAGACTTAATTAGGGTAATAGTATATTAGGCTTGAAACAATAAAAATAATGTAAAAGTAATATATCATAATAAATTTATAGTAATAGATAATAATTAATAATAAAAAATACATAAAAAATAAATTATACTAAGATTTACGTAAAACACCTTCTAATGTAGAGAAAAAAATTTATGATCACAAAAAAAATCTTCACATCAAATAATAGATATACAAAAATTTTCTCTAACTAAAACTAAAATTAATCAACAACTAGAAAGATAATTAAAGAAATCTCATCGAATAGGTGATTTAACAAATATACATTGAATTTGTTCTTAGAGAGCTTCAAACTCGATTTTTTTCGTTCAGAATGTTAAATTTTGAATCATAAACTTACTGACACAATTTCAACTCAATCGGACCATGGATTGACTTTCGTTCAATAAACTCTCATTTCTCTTTTTCTCTTTATTTTCTAGCTTTGCTTTTTTTTTTTCGAGGCTTCCTCTGTTTCTCTCTTTTTTTACCCTCACCTTTTATTATGTAGGGCTTTCTTAAGGAAGCCTAAAAACACAAGCCCTATAGCCTTTGAATAGTCAAATAACTAATTGGGTTGGATCCCACTTTCCTAATAATATTTTTCTCTAGCCCTATTAGGAAGAGATCTATCATTATAACAATTTTATTTAAAATTTACCTTGATCAAGGAACATATTTCGGGTCAAGTTACTACAGTGCTCAAGCTTTTTTCATGAAAAGTGTCTTAGTCAATATATCTACTACATTCTCATCAATATGGACTTTTTTCAATAGCATCTGCTATTCCTCAATTACTAAACATAATCAGTGATATCTAACATCAATGTGCTTCATTCTAGAATGGTACATGACATTCTTACTCAAATCTAAAGCACTTTGGCTATCACAAAATACTACATACTTTTTTTTATTCAACTCTAATTCAAGAAAAAAACATTTTATCTAAAGCATTTCTTTACCTGCTTCGGTTGTTGCAATATACTTAGCTTTTGTAGTTGATAAAGCAACACTCTTTTACAATTTAGACTGTCAAGACACAACTTATCCTACAAAAGTGAACAAATATCTTAAAATAGATTTTCTACCATCAAGATCATCTGTCATATCAGCATTAGTAAACCCTTATAGAATTAGTTGTGAAACTCCATAACTCAAGCACATTTTTTAAGTGCCCCTCAAATATCTAAAAATTAATTTCACTGTTTCTTAGAGAACCTTTCCCGGATTAGAAAGAAATTTGCTCATTACACCAACTACATGAGCAATGTCAGGTCATGTACAAACTATAAGATACATCAAAGAATCGAATGCAGAAAAATAATGAATACTAGACATAGTTAGTTGCTCTTGCTTAGTCATTGGATAAGATTTCTTAGTTAGATGAAAATGATTGTCAAGTGGACTACTAACTGATTTAGTATATTGCATGTTAAATCTACTAAGCACCCGTTCAATATATTTTTCTGTAACAACCATAGCTTTCCAGCTCTCTTATCTCGGATAATGTTTATATCGAGAATCTACTTTACTGGACCTAAATCCTTCACGTCAAAAGAGTTAGACAATTATTCTTTCAACTTATGAATCATACCAGCATCTTGTCCCACAATCAACATATCATTAACATATAATAAGAGAATAATGAACTTACCATCAGAAAAATTTTTAACATACACACAAGAATCTATTGTCATTCTTTTATAGTTATGGCTCACCATAAAAGAACCAAACTTTTTGTACCACTATCGTGGAGCTTGTTTTAAGCCATACAAGCTTTTTTTTAGTTTGCAAACTAAATGCTTTTTCCTTTTCACTTCAAAACCATTAGACTAATTCATATAAATGTCCTCTCGCAAGTCACAATGCAAAAATGCAGTATTGACATAAAGTTGCTTAAGTTCATGATTCAAACTAGCTACTAATTCTAGTACCACTCAAATGGAACTCATCTTTATAACTGGAAAAAAGATCTCATCAAAATCGATGCCTAGTTTTTGAGAAAAACCTGTCATAATGTCTAGATCTGGGGATCTATTGTTAGACATTGACTTTTAGGGAGTCGCCAACAATCTTTTTTATTATCTAGGTGTGATTGACCACCTAAAGAATCTGTCCTTTTAGGTGACACCTAAGTTTAAAGGTCCCTAAAAGAATAGGTTCAGGTCTACTAACCAGAACAGAGTTCGGGAGTTCGGTTACGTGTGAGGAAGGTTATAGCACCCTCACAACGCCCATCAAAAGATGGTACCAACTGAAATTTGTGTTATCCAATGAGCCATAAAATTTTACCAAGTAATTAATTATTGGAAATTATTCTCAATTGACTCTAATACTTTTAGCAAAAAATTGAAAAAATTCCCTCACCTCAAGAGTATGCAAGAAAAACTAATGTTTCCACTTGCCGAGGCTCCGTCGGTTGGTATTAGTTAAAGAAAAATCAGAAATTTCAAAATCAAAATCAAAATAGAAAGGAAGGGGAAATGGATGGTTGTTCTTTTGTAGGAAAATTGATACTGGTCAACTTTTCGCCAAAAATTGTTTTTTGATTTTTATTTAAGAAAATAAAACATAGATAAAAGGGAAAATTAAATAATGATAAAAAAAATAAAGAAAGTAAAACAAAAATAAGATTAAATAAAGATAAAAAATTTTAAATAAATCTAATCTAATAAATAAATAAAAAAATAAATAAAACAAATAAACAAATAAAAAAAAAAACTTGGAGCGGCTCCGCTATCGGCTCGACTCAAGGAAGAGAAAACGGCTCGGGGGAGCGGCTTAAAAGCTCGACTCGGCTCGGAGGGGGGTTGACACGCGCGGGTCAAATAGCGGGTCGACGCTCGGATCGGGTTGGATCTCGATAAAACGCACGGATCCTCTGGGTCACTTAAGCCAAAAACGATGTCATTTTGAGAGGGTATATAAGGTAGTTCCCTTAGTTTTTCAGCAGAAAGCTCCTCTTCTCTCTCTCTTCTTTTTTTTTCCTCTCCCTTCTCTCTAAAAAGCCGAAGAACTCTGGTTGAAGATTCATCGGATTCTAGAATTTTTCACCGAAATCTGGAATTGTCGTCGAAAGTTCGTCGGAAGTTCACCGGTTTTTGGGATTCTTCGTCGAAAACTGGGCAAGTCATCGAAAACTTCAAGGTTGGCCGAAATTTTCATCGAAAAATTCAAGTTTCGCTGGAAAATTCAACCGAAAACTGGAAATTTCTAGAAATTCCCAGAAAAAAAATCGCCAAAATCTTCAAAAAATTCTGCTAACTCCCAGAACACTCCTAAACCTTTTCTTAGCTTTCTATACGCCTCTTTTTCTCTCAAATCAGTAGCTTTGCTCACTGTTTTTTCTGTCTGTTGCATATGTTCCAGGAAGTTCCTTTTATAGGGATTGATCAGGAGTTTCTGATCAATCCCAATTCCTCCTTGAACGGGGATTCAATCTTTGAATCCAATATAGACTCTTCTGATTGAATTTTCATTCACAATGAGATTCTTTAACTTTCAATCACAGCCATCGAAAAAAGAAAACAAAAAATAATAATAATAATAATCAGATAAACAAAAATCATATAAACGGAACAAGAAAAGAAAAAAAATTTATTAACAGATAATTAGAAATACAATAAGATAAATCCAAAAAAAATATTACAAGAAAAAAAGAATAATAAATAAATTATAATATAATAATAAATATATAACTATATAAATAAAATACATATAAATATTAACAAAAAAATAAATAAAGATATACATATATTAATACATAATAAGAATAATAATAATAATAAAAAATAATAAAATACATAAAATACAAAAGAAAAAAAATAAAAATAATACAAGATAAAAATTGAATTGGACATACCCATTTGGGCCAAGCCCAATTGATTTGGGCCTGGACCCAATTGGGTGTCTACAGCTGCCCCTCTTTGCACATTTTCTGTGAAACAGAAATTGCGCAAAGACGTAGACACCCAATCAAGACTCAACTCAACATTGTCATTTTT